TGAGTCGATCTCTCTTTAAACACTTTCCTTTAAAGACTCCAGACACAAATGCTGTACAAAGTGGCAGTATAAAGCCGAGCAAAGTTTGCTCAAATGTTGAGCCGAACGAGCTAATCCTGCTTAGTCCGCTCAGCTTATCTTGAACATTGTAATGTTTGCTCAACTACCGGCCGAAGATGGATTACCTGGTGAATATTTACTGTAAAATGAAGGCTGTTTGTAACAACAAGTTATTTGTGATTAGTAAGTATGTTTGTATGGATAAGCTATCGACTCTGTAATGGAAAGTTTATGGTAGTAAATAATTTCAAGTTACATCTTTGGTTCAGTTGCTTGAATTCCCATTGTTTTCTGTGTTCGAGTGTTTTGCAAGTTCGTAATCTTACGCAAAATATATTTGACTACCCACTTTTATTATATATTATATTCAAACGCTCAATGGATTTATTTTGTTTACTTTTATGTATGTTTTCTCAGTAAGTGAATTTTGTAAATTCTTTTGAGATATAAAGATTCTTAAACCAGATGGTATGGGAGAGGCAAATTCGCAATAAGTTAGAATTACTGTGTGGTGTGTGTGGTGTTTTTTTTTACTTTTTTAATACGGTTCGCTATCAAATAGAAAAGACTAAAAAGATCGTCCCAACACCCTTATTATCACAAAAAAATACCAATTTATCTCTCTCACTCTCTCTCACTCACTCTCACATACCTACTCATGTCATCTCAGCAATCATGGGAGAGCAATATTTCGGCACAATTTGACTGCCTGAAATTATGTAAATATTTGTTTCGGAGTTTGGGTGTTTTCTATCTACAATGTGTATCTATATATTTAGAAAAAAAAAAATATATAAGTATTCTATCGGTCAATCTGATCCAAAATAATCGATATGCTAAATAAATAATAATAATAAATGGCTTTGGTCAAAATAATATTAATGTAGAGTCGGAAAGAGATTCATTTATTTAAATTATATTTGTAATGTATTTAACTTTCAAACCAAAGTTATTTCACAACAGAGTATGGAGACAGAAGTTGTTGTTTTACACGACTTGAACAGAATTTATCATTTGACGTTTACATACATATACAAAATACAAAAACATACAAAATAGTCGACATTATTAACTTAAAAAAAGTATGACTAACTTTAATGTGTTTAATTACTACAAATTGTATTATTAATTCCTTAATTTTTAATCCTTTATTTTTGTTCAAATTTGATTGTTTGAAGAAAAATGATGAAAAAAAAACATTTTCCCAAATCATCAATAACTTTATTCTGAGATAACAAACATTAGGAATTCAGAAACTAATCCTTTTTTTTTAAATCGGTGCAAAATTGATATTCTCTATATTAAAACAACAAAATAATTATAAGTAGTCCTGTGTTATATTTATTTAAACATCTTCACAATAATTATAATACCGAGCGTTGAAGAAATATTAATACATGAAACACTTAATGCAGCACTTGCATAGTCGTAACTTATGCAAAGTTTTTAGGGTTAAGCACCTCAAAGGGTAAAGTAACCCCAACTTCGTGGTCCCACTTTCTCTGCCAAAGTCCTTTTCGTCAGAGACACGTGAAGGTATCAAATTGAAATTATAATGAAGTAATTAGTCTATAAATCAACGCAATTATAAGATAAAGATACTAAAAAGTCTTTTATTTCATCCAATTTTAACACTTTGCATTTAAATGATGACCTGTTGACAGAATCACAGCAAAACACAGACCACGGCACAAACACACAAACAGGTTCCTAGTGCCTTGGTTGACCAAGGAACTAGCAACCTGTGAAGACACAAAAATACACATAACATATATTTAAGCTTGAAAATTGTCTATGACGAAATCAATGCCCAGGGTTTATCTTTTTGTTAAGTTATTTTTATCACTGTCTGTTTTCTTTTAGTAACTATTGACAATTAAAAAAAATATCGTTGCTTGTGATAGAACTATGTTGTCAATAATTGTATGAATTACAGTCAAATATCGACCTCTGGAATACGACTACTTGGTAATTAATAAAGCCACTTGGGTTACAGTAGGAAGTTTTACATAAGACCAAAAAATTTTACAGCACTACTGTCTAAGCCCACACAACATGTATTTTTTAAATATTTCTCCACTTTGTAATAGAGATTATTTTGGGGATTTTGAAGCCATTTCTTATTCAGTTTCATGTACTTATTTCAGTATTATGATATTTAAAACTATATTTTGAGGTATATTACAAGCAAGCAAGAAAATAAACAGGTTTTTCAAAAATATGTGCACAATAACTTTTGCTCATTTGTTTTAACTGCTCTCCTGCTCACATGACAGAGTTATTTTTAGATTTGTTTTTACTACTGTTAAATTTAATATAGAAACATTTTAATGCAGAAAAGTTATAACAATTTTTTAAACATAAAGTTCAAAATATCGGACGAAGATCAGTTTCGCTGTAATTTAGAGGGTAAGGTCATATTATCCTCCAAGAAGCTTGGTGTGCTGAACGAGGTAATATTTCACACCGGCCCACCGCTTAGGTACAACTCTACAAGGTGTAGTTTTGGTCCTAAATGGAACACTGTTCTTGTCTTTCTTTATGTCTTTCATATGAAATACTGATCTCACCCCTCGGCAGGGATATCAGCTTCTCACTCTCAATCGCAATCAACGGAGATCGACTCGAGTCATCAATGGAGCTTCACTCTATATCCTCTATCGCTTGTATTTTAAGGATTGCTCCGGGGAATGCTCAGGCCGTTTGTAAAATCTTATCTATATATAAAATTCTCGTGTCACAATGTTCGTTCATGTACTCCTCCGAAACGGCTTGACCGATTCTCATGAAATTTTGTGTGCACATCGATTAGGTCTGAGAACCGGCCAACATCTATTTTTCATACCCCTAAATGGTAAGGGTGACCCATCCCTATTTTTTTTTGTTTTGCAAAACAACGTTTGCCGGGTCAGCTAGTAATTTATAATATTTTACTTTTTTCTATTCACTCTTGCACATTTTAGAATAGTAGGTATTAATATAGGTATACTTGTTTTATGTTAGCTTTAGTAATAAGCTTTACATAAGAATGTAATGACAATACAATTTAAATCACATACTAAATGTAACCAAGACCTTATTGTTATTCAGAAAAAATATGTTTATTTATTTATTATTGAAATGTGTGCTGGACGAAAATCGATTCCACGACGTCTAGCTTAACAGTCAGGATCACTCACAACTGAGGACCTTAAATAACATGATCCGGGTCCTCCACAGAGTAGGACACCTGAGGCCGGCCATCGGTGTGGTTTTTAGTGGAATCACCACATTCTTCTGGCTCGTGATTCCCCGAGGAGCAGGAGATCCAAAGGGATTTTCCACCCCGTCAACAAAAGAAAAAAGGATCACTCACAACTACGAGTACACCAACAGGTGATTTTAAAATAAAATATTCTTAAACATAAATACCTACATTAAATTTTATACGAAAGATTGTATTAAACATACATTGATTAACTAACCCATGTACTTACCTTTACTATTCCGATAAATGAGATCTTAATTTTCGAGCATTTGGAAAGAAATAAAATGGTGAAGAATCGTCACAAACTACATTTGCATAATGTGGGTTTTATTAATATGAATGAAAGCGTGCTCGATCAGAAAAACAACGATCTCTGTGTCAAGAAAATGTCGAAACCGCTTAGTTCAAAGTAAAGTGGAACATAAAATAAATAACGCTCAAAATCCCACCGAAAACGCCGAGAACACAAATAAGCAAAAATATTCTACAAAGCCAGTATCTAACTTTGTATCGCAAAATTTCTACAACTGAATCCCACGAAAATTTCTTCATTAAAGGCAACAATGCCTTCAGACTACATACAAATAACCGACAGAGTCCAATTTAAATAACAGGCTCGCAAAGCTGAAAAACAAGCCGTAACCGAAGTTGGGAATAAATTAGCAACCCCCCTTAAACACCCCCTTACCCAATGTGTACATTGTGCAAAATATTATTTGCCTTGCCAGACAATAATAGGATCTAATGCCACGCCCTGACATGTTAGCTTTTGAGGACTCCGCCCCACGTTTTATCCATCCTCATTGGTCAACGTTTATGGCCATCTCTTTCATAGCTTTTCCCATCTCTTTTCTTCGTGTAGCTTTTCCTTCGACGCCCGAGGGGTAAATGTTATGGTAGGAAACATATACGAGGGTTTTCTAGTACCGGGTTCGCATTGTCATGCCGCTTTCTGAAATATTTTTTACGCAAGTTTTATTTGAAGATATCTACCTGAATGGAGTGCTAGAATTCGTTTTATGAGATTTTGTTTCATAGCACTCCTTTAACGGATTAAGCGATGTGGATGTCTCAGGGTTTTGAGTGGTGTATGTTGTTTTCTGTTTTGTTTTAGGAGTTCTGGTTGACTGTTGTCTGTAGGTAATTGTAATTAAATGAGGTACTGTATATAGTAAGAAGTCATCTAAATAAACTAAGAAGGTCTTTGTTTCGTATTTCATCTACAAAAGAGTATCAATGTCTCAACAAAAGTTTAGGGTTAGTAAATATAAATCTTTAGTGAAAAAGTTTATTGGATACCAAAAACAATTTTAGTTTAATTCGTCTTACCAAATATCTAACAAGTAAACCAAAATGTATTAAGTAGGTATACAAAAAAAGAAAAAAAAAATACCAAAATTCAAAGAAATTCCATCCAATAAAACTAAAATACCACAACAAAATTGAATCGATAGACGTGAAGCGGCCTAATAATTATTAGTCGACGGCCTGAAATTCATGCACAAAGCTCCGACCCGCAGTAATAATAACGACAATTGTTGTGTTTAGTGGAACGTAAACGAGGCCCGAGGCAGTGGGGGTTCGGGGCCGGCCGTGGGCGGGGCTCCGCGGGGCAGAGCCTCGCGCCCCGGCCGAGCCGCAGTCCGCGCCGCGCCACGCGCCACCACGCACCTCTGTCATGTGACCGTACAGCATGGAAGATTGTGATCTTGCCCAATACCGCGATATGATCATCGAAGGTGAACTACCGCTTGACTTGCGACCACCGCCTCGGCTTTACCTCCCGCACTACCTTCGGGACGATAGGGATTCTGAATACCCTCAAGACGATACCTACGTTTCAGTTGACGAAGATACACCAGAACTGCCTGCTGCATCCAGCGACTCTGAAAGGTTTGACGCCTCCAGTCCGACAGATAATAAATCTTCAACGCCAAAGAAACCAAAGCAGAAGTCCTCATCACAACTTATTAAGCCGCCTTACTCCTACATCGCACTCATCACTATGGCTATTCTCCAATCGCCGCATAAAAAGTTGACATTGAGTGGAATTTGCGAATTTATCATGACTAGGTTTCCATACTACAGAGAAAAATTTCCAGCCTGGCAGAACTCCATTAGACACAATTTAAGTTTAAATGATTGTTTTATCAAAATTCCAAGAGAACCTGGAAACCCGGGCAAAGGGAATTATTGGACATTGGACCCTTTGGCTGAAGATATGTTTGATAATGGAAGTTTTTTGAGGAGGAGAAAGCGGTACAAGAGGCCGGCACCGTCGCTGCAGCATGCGCATGCTGTTGTGGCAATGCTGGCTCGGGAAGCTTACGCTCCTCTATTGCCGCTGCCGTGTTACTTGCCGCCGACGCCGCTGTTGTCATTGCCGCGTCCGCCGCCGGCTATGCTACGGCCTGTGCCTCTACCGCCGCGTGTCTCGGAAACCACGGAGCCAAGAAGTAAGCGATCTCGAAACGGATTCTCTATTGAATCCATAATAGGTTCGCAGGATAGTCCAGTGACTGCCGAGCCAAGGCGAAGTGCGTTTTCTCCCCTCCATCAAAGCAATGGGCCGCCGGACGACTGGGCCAGATGAATGTACCTTAACGGGTACGGATCGAGTCCATCCCCGTTTTGAAACGTCCCGTCGGACCACGTATAATCCTCGCCGATTGACTGATGTGTTTCCGAATAACATAAGAATGAGGTGTTCGTATAGTGATCTTTCTAAGATAAGTATTGTATTATACTGTAATGTAAATTTCTAGAATGTCGAGTTTTGTTGGCTTATGTATCGACCAAATATTTGAAGGTTACCGATTTTTAATTTTGTTTCCACAGATGTGTTTTATTCGCATCTTTTTTTTTTAATAAGCCACAATGGCCTGCTTTTTTTAATTTTGTTCAAATTGTTTTTTTTTCTTAATTTCTAAAGCAGACATAATTTAGGGAAAGTTTTTTCTTAAACTAACACATTGTTTATTGTTTTATTTATTACGTGGATAAAGAGTTAGCGACTAATAAATAATTCTAGTCATTCTATGTACAAAGTAGTGATGAGGTGTATAATGTAAGTCTTATTGTAAATATCAATATTTCTATTATAAATAAGTTAAATAACAATATCATTTGGCATTCAATGTTGCGATTATGAATTATGAGGACAGTTACCGCCAATATAGGAACAATAGGTTCCTCAAGAAATATCGTATTAGCTATACCTGTTCCTTTTATTTAATTATAAATTTGGTTGAAGTTAATGTCAGATTACCACAATGTAGTGGTATTAGGTAGAACACTTACTTTGTTAATTTACAAGATAAACGTCTCATATTCTCAATATTAAATGCTAAATACGTAACTGCAATATTCTTGTGTAGATAACACAAAATAACGGATTTGTGCCACAATGTATTGAAATGTTAACATAACTGTAGTTATTTTGTGTAACATCTTAATTTAAGGGAGAAATATAAAAAAATGTGAACGATATCACACTTTGTTTTATTTGAACACCGTCGGTAGGTTACCCGCCGGTAAAGCAAAATATTATGAGAAATAATTTAAGGGCAAGATACTAGTAATGCAATAAAAAGCAGGAAAGAAGATTGGTAGGTACGCGTACCTCTATCTGTGTTGTGACGGATTAAGAATACGGAGTATCACCACTAACTACTAAGGGACAAAAGTATAGTAGACCATAAAAAGTGGATTTCCGTTTTCTGACCATTGTCACATTTCTACCATTAACATCTAAAACCGCAAATATCCGTGGCCAATTATCATTAAATTTAAAATATGGGAAACCGTTGGTAACTGTCAAAAGTCTCGATTAACTTTAAATATTTTTCTTTACATTTACTTTATTTTCCAATTATTAAAAGGCTAATTTTACCATCAAATAATTTGTATCTCTTGAGTTTGCCATTTACCATCAGGTGATACCATCATACAATATTTCGGACATCTGATACACAACGCCATCTAGTTTCAGAGCTTGTACTATAAAAGCTAGGTTGACTGATTGAATACTGTATACTTTTTTTCTAAATACATACATATTATACATAGAAAACACCCAAACTCCGAAACAAATATTTGCATATCATACAAACATTTGATCTGACCTGGAAATCAAACCTGAGACCTAAGCACAGCAGTCGCATACGCTATCATTGCACCACCATTTAAAATGTTTGTTAAAGGAAGAAAGTGGAATTCCAATATTGTACTTTACATAAATGTTAAATATACATCTTTTATAACTCTTACTGTTTGATTATCTTACACGTGTAATGGTCAAATAAAATAATAAGAAAACTAATCCGAAAGTATTTACGTTTTCATCCGTACCATATATGTATGTATATCAAATGTCAAAATAAAGCTTACTCTAATAGATTGGGTACAATATAACTTTAACAACGTTAAGCCAACTAATAATATGGAGTAAAAGACTCATTAATTTATGGACCTGCTCAGATTAGAACTGAATGTCTTTGTTAGAGTTAGAGGCTAGAAGAGTCGGACTTACAAATGTTACTTAGATGAGTCAATGCTAATAATACTAGGGACATGTATTTTGTAATCTGTTTCGTGATATCTTTTTTTAACCCAATGGAAGCTTTTCAACTGATTTAATACCACTACCAACACAGTGTTGTATCTTGGTTGGTAAGTAAAATCGATCATCTTTTAGAATAGGAATATGAGAGTGACAAAGATGTACGGGAAACTCCACTATACACCGCCTGAATTCAACCTCAGACCTTGGTTACGAAGCCTAATCGTTGGGACGAGTCGAAATGAATTATACGAGTAGAATCTCGAAGGGGTTTACTATTATCCAATCATTGTACCATAAAAAAACATAGTTTTTTTGTCTATAATTTATTTTTGCTTTTTTAGTCATCAGGGTAATCGGCCAAATTTGTTAAAATATTGTATTGTCATCGGTTCTTGATAAATGTGCGAAGTTTAAATTTAGATCGTCTTTTTTAAGATTCCGTTACATACATAAAAGCGTGTTTAAAATGAATGTGTTGAAACAGGACCATGCCAGTTCCACGCCTATTTAATTACGATTAGACTCCGATGAATTGAGGGCTTCCTCCTTTTTTTAAGTCGGTTAAGAAGTGATTTAGCTTGAAGGAATGTGTATTTAAAAAATCTAAATATAAAAAAATGTATATTCTAAACAAAAATTCTTAATTAGCATGTCAATTTCAATTATCCTTTTTTTTTTAGGTCTCAAAATCTCTTTATATATTCAATATAAAAAAGAAGGACTAGTAAGAGTAACATTGACTGATGACAAGAGAGCGGGCCTTTAACTAACACAGAGAATTGACAATCCATTATAGGAGCAATGCTGCCAGCCTTTTGGGAACTCTGCCAGCAGGCGACGATGCGTAGTCTGAAGGCAAATTCTCGTAATAAAAATTCGGTCAAAAGTCAGTTTCGATCAACTCTCCATCTCGCTACTGTTATAATAGGTATTTTCGTAATAAACTTGTATAGTACTTACAAAGACTAGCAGATTACTGATTCAATTTTTGGTCACAATACGATATAATCATGTCACAGTCAACGTTGGACGTTTAACACTTTACTACGAAAATACAAGGTATTACCTGAATTATGAGTGAATTGTTACTACGAGAATTGGCCTTCTGTAAAATTGTTGGTTAATTTTATTAAAAGTTTTTATTTGGTTTTATATAAATATACATCAATAAATGACAAATAAATCTAATAATCCTGCCAAATAGCAGGGTACTTGGAGTACGGTTGCAGTCGAGAACTATTATAATATTAAACTTAATAATCTCTTAGCTTATGCATTATACAAAGACAGCATCGTGTGAGGTGCTAACTCAAACACATCAAGTAAACGGGACAGCGAAGGCCCTAGGATTACTCTAAGCTTATCAGTGCTCCGTGATGATAACGCGAATTACGTCACACGCCTGTGTTGGGTGGTCCGGGAACCGGCATTGAATTTAAAATTTTAGTGAAAAAATCTGAAAACCGTGTCTCGTGGTTAAGTGGTAACAGAATAGCATCACCATAGGTCAGCACATGGCAAAGTTAAGCAATCCTAGCCAGGTCAGTCTATGGATGGGTGACTATTCTTCACACATTGAGAGCACGTTACTTTTGTTGAGCTACTTTACTTTTGTTGATTGAGGTCCGTCAAAAAAATAATTTTGAAAATCCGTCCATATAAGACGGAGTTATGACTGAACTTACTAAAACAATATATATATAAATCCGAATTTATAACTTCCTCTTTGAAGTCGGCTTAAAAAAGCTTTTCCCGAATTATTTTGACAAAAATCAAGTTTATTGAAGATGAAATGATGTAATGATATTTATTTCTGCAAGTAAATCTTTTACAGATATTTTTATAAGTCGGACTTTACAGATTAGAAGGACTTAGAAGGCGTCGGCATTTACTAAGACGCGAGTCTTAGGAAATGCCAGGCGCCTTCTCTGAGAAGAAACACCTAAACAAACCACAGAGGTGACTTTGTTTTTAAGTCAATGTTAAAGAGAACTATGTGAGTGTAGTATTGGGGCTGGGTTGGACTTTCCAAGGACCATAGTATTGAGTCGGCCCGTCCATACAGACGGCATACCAGCATAGCCATTGTGAAGCCCAACCGATATAGTCAGGATCAACAACCCGGAACACGACACTATCGCCTACAGGATACTTGAGTAGGCCGTGGAAACACTCAAAACCACCAGAAAGTTACTAAATATGAACTAACATTACAACTCTACCCTATACTCTCATCTACATACTTACACAAATAATAAATATATATATTAGATACTCTACAATTCTATTTCAATAAACAAATTGAAAACAAACGAAATACGAATTACAACAAAAAATTAAATGTTCATCACTTTCAAATGTGGGAGTGAGCAGCATCAATCCCAAGCAAATTTGTCATCTAAATAATCTGATACCGTGTTTGTTAATACTTGATTCATGAAATTTGCTTGGTATTTTATTGTAGAATCGCACACACTTGCTTCCCTTTTGTAGTCTACTCGTTGCCAACACGAGTTTATCTTTATTTCTAGTGTTTATACTAAAATTGTCGCTAAACTTTGTGAACAAAATTAATATTTTTATTAACCTATACTAAATTTTCATATATATATTGAGATGCGCTTGTCATGATACTAATTTCTTTAAACTTATTCCTCAGTGACTACCTATAACTGATATTATGAATTGCGCGAATAGCTCTCTTTTGCAACACAAAAATACTCTGAATATCAGCAGCATTTCCCCACAACAAAATACCGTATGACATTACACTGTGAAAATAGCTAAAATGCTATCTGTTTCTACATCCGTTAATTGACGTATTTTATAAACCGCGTATGTTGCAGAGCTGAGTCTGTTCGACAATCCATCAATGTGTGCCCCCCCCCCCCCCAACTGCAATTTAGAGTCTAGAGTTATACCGAAAAACTTAGTGGTGTCCACTAGATCCAACTCCTGTCCATTTATCAGAACGCTGGTATTTATCTGCTAACATTAGGTGTAAAAAATCTAATACATTTAGTTTTTTC